CCCCCCCCCCCCCCCGCCCCCCCCCCCCCCCCCCCCCCCCCCCAGCATGAAGAGTACGTACTGGAATGCGTGGCGAAAAGGACAGTCACATCTCGGCGGCGAAGCAAACCATCATCGCCCAGTAGAGACCTGAAGACAGTGGCTGCCGTCGTGCCGTCGAGGCCGCTGAGAACATCATCGAGGAGGACAAGCCCGCGTCGTGAATAAACAGCCCTTGCAAGTCCCTGCGCGTTGTGACTGTTAGCCCCGAGCTCTTAGACCGGAAAGAATCATCCTGAGGCATACCACTCTCCGTCTCTGTCCACCGCTGAGCGCTAACCCCTCGCTTCCAACGAGGGTTTTGTCTCCGCATGGCAACGAGGCGAAATCTCGATCAAGGGCGCAAGCTGTGATAACTTGCGCATACCACTCTTTATCGAACCGAAATGGGCCTACAATGTTATCTCGGAGAGAAACGTTCTGAAGCCAGGGTGTCTGGTCGCAGTACGATATTGACGATGTGGCCAAGTGGACTGCGCCGCTGGTCATGTGCAGCTCGCCGAGTATGCCTTTGAGCAACGAAGACTTGCCGCAACCGACAGGGCCTACGACCATTGAGATGGAGCCAGCTGGGAGCCGGAAGTTGATGTCACGGAGGAGCTCGGTCTTGTCGGTCTGCTGATCGTTTGTGGCAAAGGTGGCCTGGCGGATGTCGACGACGGGTGACGGAGCTTCGCGGGCAAGGCATGGCAATGCCTGTAGCTCGATGCCTGGCTCGCTCGAGCGCATGTATATGTCATTCGGAGACGGCAATCGGGTCCCAAGCGTCCGAAAGAAGTCTCTGTGATCAGCCTTCTCTCTGAGGAGAAGAAAGCTCTGAATCCGGCCCCAGCAGGCCAGACCTGAGATACAAACAGGATATGACTCGACGAGATTGGAAATCGGCTGCGACACAAGGATGACGATAGAAAGAGTTGTGAATATGTCGCTTGCTCTGAAGTCTGACGACCCCTTGGCCCAAAAGACCGCCACAGCGATTACAACGATGGGCGAGAGTTGGTTGACCGCAGACGCTATAGATCGGTTAGTTTGCCCTTGTATCGCTCACGGGAGGAGACGGGGAAGCCGCACAGAGACTTGTGGCCCAGGCGAGCATAGTTCTAAGCTTCTTCGACATGTCCAACTCGAAACCCCGAAAACTCTGGATAGTTTGGGCCATGTAATCGCTTCGTCCCATCATCTTTATTCCCTTGATCTGTCCGAGCATAGATGACGTGACAGAGACCCTCGTCTGGATCGCCTCGTTCCAGGCACGTTGAGCAGGAATGGTGGTCTGGGAGATTGTCCGCGATGCTAGCCAGCAAACTGGAGGTGAAGGATCAGACTCGGTTGGGGGTCGCAATTAGACAGGAGAAGCAACGTACGAATGCCAGGTACCAGTACCAGGAAACTCGAGTGGCCCGCCTTGCGATCAAGCAGGAATAGGCCGGCGCCGAGCTCGATCGCACCAGGCCACAAGTCATGAAATGCTCGTGTAGCAGAGATAATACCATCGATGTCGGTGCTCATGAGAGTAAGGGGCGCCGACTCGGCAATCGAGCTGGCCTCAAGGGTCATTGTCTTCTGGTATATCAGGCCCACTAGAGCACCCCGGATCATGGTGTTGAGTTGGAATATCAGTTGCTTGTAGCCGAATCTCGTTACCTGACAGATGGTTAATGAGACGCTTGGGTTCTGCGGTTGAGAGTCGGTGGGGTTTGGGGGCATACCGCGATTCCGGCGTACACGAGGAATGTCGCCGCGATCAAGCCTCGCGCCACTTCTTGATTGTATCGCACCGATGACTTTCCCACAAAATCGATGACACGGTTGATTAGAAAGGGCTGCGCAAACATCAATGCGGAGAAAAGGAGCCGGGGGACCGCGATGATGAGGCACTGAAGCTTGAAAGTTCTCAACATCGCCCATACCAATGAGTATCTTCCAGATTTACGGGCTGCGCCCAGAGAAGGTGAATATATTAGCACAGGCCACACTATCGCCGAAGGCTAGGGTTGGCACCTACAATCGGCCCAGGCTGATGTAGCGGACGCCAAGAGAGTTGACGAGTCAAATTTCTCGTCAATATCCCCGAGATCATCTTGGGTGAGGATGCCTCGGGAGCCCTTCTTAAGGAGCGAGTACAGCCTTGGCCACCAACCCTGGGTCCGATTGGGGAGATCACCAGTAGACTCTTCGGCTCTGTAGTTTTTGTTGAAGGCTGGGGATGGCGGCCTTGGCAGTTCCTCGAGCAATAGAATGACGAATTTGACAGCAACGGACACGGTGAACACGGCAGCAATGGCAACGTGACCAAGGCGACTCCAGAGGGTTCTCGCCTCGACTAGTTCGAGCAGGATGGTCAGGCCAAGGTAGCCTCTAGTTAGAATCGAGGGTTGAATCCATCTATAGTGTTCCTGATACGAGAGGTAAAGGAGCACGGCCGATATAGCCAGCTTGAGGACGCTGGCTACCACGGGCACAGAGCCATTCACAGCACTGGATAAGACCCATAATATGAGCAAGGCGATTTGAGTGCCAACAAAAAAGCTGCAGACTCCCTGGTGTGAATGGTTAGCAATGCGGCTTGGAACCATCACCAACGGAGAACAGTACCAGTTTCAGCCTGAGCAGCCAACCATGGCTGACTTGTAGCGGCTTCCGTACGAGGGACAAGATCCTCGGAACCGATGCGCAGAGGAAGATGGCAGACGGCAGAATGGAAAGGACAATCTGCTCAAAAAAAAGGGTGAAATTGAATTGGTCCGCTAATTGGGGGGCCAAACTAGTGGCGTTTGAATCCATCTCCAAGCGCTTTTACAACAGGGAGAGGTGGAAGCAACGCCTGGTGCCGAGGGCAAGAGAAGCAAAACTGCAAGAATTATACCGAAGTCTCGATTATACAAGTCCTCTGCTTAGAGAAGTGCTGGTTAGAAGGGCCTTTCGAAGGTCACATGCTGCCCAGCAAGCCGCAGCTTGGTATTGCTCTTGGTTGCTGCGTCGCCGCTGCTTGACAACTGGTCAATTGCTGGCCACCGGGTACTTCGACCAACGCTGACAAAAGGGCCCGACTTGCGGCAATCTGGTATGCAGCGGCCCATCACATACAGTACAATTGTATAGTACTAATGGTAGACCGGCGGTGTTTTGTTCACCCCACATGGTAAGCTGAGTGATCTCTGCAGGATCATGCTTCAGCCGGGGGCCGTGTGGGGGCGGGGGGGTGTGGCGAGGAAGCGCTCACCGACATATACGTTAGTAGGTTGTACCAGTAGTATAATCTTCGCTTTTGATTGTTACACGTCACGGTCGTGCCAGCGTGTGCCTCGTGTCTCTGGATAGCCCTGATCAGGCTTGGCTCCATGCATGCTTCCATTATATCCGCAGCTTCCGTGCTCGTCCCCTAGTCTTAGGACTCTTAGGAATCTGGGGATTCTTCTGAGAGTCAGGTCGGGAGATCCGAGTATACCCTCCCAATAACCGTCCGGCATTCTTTCTTTTCTGTCTTGTTCATATTCAACGCTATGCAGCTCGATCAACTCCGCTTCAGAACCGGGTCGGAAATCCAAGTCTCCAAGCCCTCCTTTCCTCCCACGAGAAGCCTTCTGTTTCTCATTCTCTTATCGGCGGGAATTGGCGGGTCAGTACACGCAGTCGCCCTCTAGATAAGTAAAAATCAAATATACTAAATGGAGTCGCTAGACTGCAAGGCGTTTTTGCTCTTATATTCTCCAATGGCTCCGTACGTGTAGCAATGCTCTTTGTCATTCAACCGCGAAGGTCTCTACGCTAATGAAAGCCGTAACAGGCACATCTCGGGGACCTTGGCCTTAGCAAGGCCGCTCAAACACTGGTATGGATAACCCTCCCGCTTGCGGGAATGACGGTGCAGCCGTACTGTGGAATCCGTAGCGACCAGTGTCTTTCCTCTTGGGGCCGGCGGCGTCCCTTCATCGCGTCGGGCGCCATCGTTGCCGTTGTGTCGCTGCTTGGCCTGGCCTCGACCGAGAGGTTAGCCGCCGCCGTCGTCCGTCTTAGTGCCCGTGGCTGTTCTCCTACCGATGCTTGTTCCAAGGAAGAGCCAGCCAAAGCAGCAGCAGATTCCCTAGCGGCAGTCATGTCCGTCTTCTTCATCATGGCTCTTAGCATTGCTCTGCAGCCGCTGCAAGGAGGACTTCGCGCTCTCATGGTCGACATGTGCCCGCGTGCGCAACAGCCAGCTGCCACTGCCGTAGCGGGTGCTGTTGTAAGTGCATCGAATATCCTCTGCTATGCCGTGGGCTTCGTCGACCTACCGCGCATATCGCTCTTGCGGGCCCTGGGCGGCGACTCTCAGTTTGCCATCCTGTGTATCATTACGTCGGTAACACTGGCCGTCTCGGTCGGCCTGACGTGCTTGGGCGTGCGAGAGAGGAGCGCGACGCTGGGCGACGATGGGCTCTCCGCAGCAGCAAGAGGCACGAGAAATACTGTGCGCGCTCAGCTATGGTACCTCCGCACCAGCTTCCCCCGCCTACCACGACAGGTGCAGCAGGTATTCAAAGTGCAGTTCTTCTCGTGGATCGGCTGGTTCCCTTTCCTTTTCTACGCAACCACATATTTGCGCGAAACGTGTGAGTACATCAAGTCTAGCGGCCCGCGTACAATACTGAACAGAATGAACAGACAAGAATGAAACACCTGCCGTACAACGTCTTGACCGAGGTTTCCAGGCCAGGGCGGCCAAGGTCGGCTCGCTCGGGCTGATGCTCTTCGCACTGGTTGCATTCGTCGCCGGCGCATTTCTTTCCACTGCTCACAAGCATGCCAACCGTGGAGGACAAGTCATCGGAAGCACCTTGACCGGATTAACCCGCAGCCTTCGACGCATGTGGATTGCGTCACAGGTCCTTTTTGCTGTATGCATGTTTGCTACAGCGTTCACACCGTCGCTCAGAGGCGTCTATGTTCTCGTTAGTCTCAGCGGCATCAGCTGGGCAGTCACCATTTGGGCGCCGTTCGCTCTCATCAGTACACATATTGTGCATGACACCGGCCGTCGCAGCGGAGAGACGATGTACTCCCAGCCGCTGATGCGGGATGAAGAGGAATCCTTAATAGAGGATTATGAGCAGCAGAATCTCATGGTGGGCGAAAAGGAGGAAGATGACAGGCATGTCTATGGAGGGGAAGCGGACGACGTCTACGAGCGCCGACCAGGTGTCATAATGGGCCTACACAATGTCGCTATCGCAGCACCCCAAATCGCGGCTGCTGCAAGTTGTAGCCTCATCTTCTGGATACTTGAAGGCTCTTCGCAAGACAGTGTTGGCTGGACACTGCGGTTTGGGGGTTTGGCCGCTCTGGGAGCTGCAATAATGGCAAGTGGGATACAGGAAGAGGTTTCTGAATTCCCGTTAAAAAAGCTTACGCGTTGTATCGCGGGCACCGGTTGAAGAGGTAAAGGCCGACAAGGGGGTCGCTTAATACTACCTAGGTACATACGTGTAGCTGTTCTGCTAATCCCTTTGAGGTGCAGTAAGGCACCGCCTAAGTACCGTCTAGCCTCGGAAAATTCGTCTGTGGGTCTCTTTGATTTCTTCGCTTAATTCTATATATCAAGTTAGCCTATTACCATCTCTAGTAAATAGTGGGCGAAATCCGGAGAGACCCACAAACGAGTTTTCCGAGGCTAGGCGATATCTGTATCCATTTTTATTCAACGCTAGATGACTTCCTATAACGGTAAAAAAAAAACACGCTAAAACTGCTAGCAGCTGTTATTAACTGGAATGAATGGTTGAATAGCGACAGTGCCTTGTCAACAATATCTGTAAGACGTACAGCAACCAAGGGCCAAGCCGGCAGCGATTTTAAGCCGGCGACGAGTTTACACCTATTTCACAGCATAATCGCGTCCGCCGAGGAAAACGGGCACGCTGCGTAGCTTGCCAAGGCCACCAAGTCGGTATCACAAGGTCAAGAAAGAGGAAGCCCCTCACCGAAATAGGTGGGAATTCTAACCCACCTAGAACGCGGCTAGGTTGTGATACGTGTGATGTAGCTACATGTATTTATACCAGTCAGACTTACTGGGACTTCCACCATAGGCCACTTTTAGCTGGTCAGTAATGTACCTTAGATTTGCAGCCGTCTAATTGGCCGCAACCCTGGTCAGATACATAGAAGTATTCCACTCTTTCCCCCCAGCAAGTAACACTCACTTATTAGGGGTCCTTATTGCACTCCTTCGGACTTCTACGGACACATTGCCAAGAGCTTTCATAGGCAACGGTCAAAACGGCCTCAATCGAGAAGCAGGGCTTCCATATTTACAGGCGGCACTTGTGGCACATATTGAATACGTAAATCGTTTCTCATGTAGCTATGGGTTCTATTGATAAGAGTTCGCTATCCCAGTGAAAGATGTGATTCCCTCTCGTGCTGCTTCTGAAAGCATACCATGCTATAAACCCATTTCCCGTCTCATACCTCGTAGCCTTTTGGTCGGTCGTTAGCACTTGTATAATAAAACGCCTCTAGTGAGTGTCTGATATAGCACGTACTGTAGATGCTAAAATAGCTTGGGTTTCTTAGGCTTAAGCCTTGTCAAAGCCAACGCATCGGGCATCAATCTTGCCGTCCTTGGTGAGAGCGCAAGATCCAACCTCCAGCCCAGCACGACGAGCAAGGGCCGCCGCGTCAAAGCCGACGCATCGGGCATTAACCTTGCCCTCCTTGGAAAGAGCGCAAGATCCAACCTCCAGCCCAGCACGACGAGCAAGGGCCGCCGGGTCAAAACCAACGCATCGAGCATCAACCTTGCCCTCCTTGGAAAGAGCACAAGATCCGACCTCTAGCCCGGCACGGCGAGCAAGGGCTGCTGGGTCAAAGCCGACGCATCGAGCATCAATCTTGTTATCTTTGGTGAGAGCGCAAGTTCCAACCTCCAGCCCAGAACGACGAGCAAGGGCTGCTGGGTCAAAGCCGACGCATCGAGCATCAACCTTGCCGTCCTTGGGGAGAGCGCAAGATCCGACCTCTAGCCCGGCACGACGAGCAAGGGCCGCCGCGTCAAAGCCGACGCATCGGGCATCAACTTTATTATCCTTGGTAAGAGCACAAGATCCAACCTCTAGCCCGGCACGGCGAGCAAGGGCTGCTGGGTCAAAGCCGACGCATCGGGCATCAACCTTGCCCTCCTTAGAAAGAGCACAAGATCCAACCTCTAGTCCGGCACGGCGAGCAAGGGCTGCTGGGTCAAAGCCGACGCATCGGGCATTAACCTTGCCGTCCTTGGTGAGAGCGCAAGATCCGACCTCTAGTCCAGCTGGAGCAGAGAGGCCGGTAGCTACAAGAGCAAGAAGGGTGGCGATAGAGAGCTGCATTGTGTCCGCTGGTGCTTGTAAATAGTGGATTGTAGTAATACTGGGATGGCAGTGCGAGTTGATGATGATAGAGCCTGTGTTGAAAGTAGTTGAGACTGAGTCGTCGTAGATGGGTTATATAAAACTAGGGACGGCCCGCACAGAGATCCGGCCCACCTCCTTCTCTTTGGTGTAAGCCCTCGTGCTTGGAACTCCCAGGTATCGCTACTTGCCATAGCGTTAGCTTCATGCTGCTCCTTGCCGTTTCTTGCCACCCGAGCCCGAGTAAGACACGTCAACACCGACTTTTCGTCTGAGTAAGACACGTCACCACCGACTTTTGGAGTCATAGTCGGTGCTACCGTAATACTACCTCGCAAAACTCAACTGTGGATTTCTCTGATTTTCCTCGCTTAATCAACTGTGGATTTCTCTGATTTTCCTCGCTTAATCAACTGCCGGCAGTTAGATGCTTACTACCCCCAATTATTAGTGGGCCATATCTGGAGAAGACCCATAGTATACGGTATCTCGATAGTAATATCCCGATCCATCGCTCCACGCTACTCCACGCTACTCCACGCCACTAAAATCTTTGATAAGACACCTTAATATGAATCAACTGGTTAACAGAGCCAACACACTCACACTTGATGCCGGTTTCGTATCTATCACCAATAGCATTCCGCGTCGATCCTTTATGCCATGCCGTGCCATCCCATATCACGTAAGTCTTGGACCGGATGATCGGCTGGCGGCGGCATGTTCAGTCTGCTCCTTGGGGGGTGGTTATATCGTTTGCATTGATGGATTGGTCACTCGTGGTTTTATGTACCGGGGGCCGCGTGTCTGATAACGTACGAGATCTGCATTTAGTCACATACTTAATGAATCCTCCGGCGAAAATCTCGTCATATTGTAAGCGAGGCCCGTCTTTTTTATGTCCAATTATAAATACAAAAGAAAACCGGGCTGGTCAGATGGCTATGGCACCATCCTTTCCCAGCTTTAGATTCTGAAAATTCATTTCTATACGTGATTATTTAACTTCTTTTTCGTTCACGTCCCGCCCACACTCCAAGGCCGGGGATAACAATGACCTACTTCAAATCTACAATGACCTACTTCAAATCTTTCAAAACAAGCAAGAAAGGGGACGAGTATGGTCGCCTAACACATGACGACGAAGATGGCGAGAATGCGGACATCCATGTCAATCCAGGATCTCATCGCAAAACCTCTACTCTAACCTGGTTGCTTGTATCAAACTCTATTTTGGCACTGGCGGTTGTGGGACTATCAGCCCGAATTTTCTCCCAGCCCTTGGCATCAACCACATCGACCCATTATTCCGGGGTTGGGCCCGTCCAACTACTGGAGGATCAGCTTGGGATCGTATCAACTGTTATAGAGACCTATCAGTTCTTTGATGATGATTTGGATCCTTATGACTTTAGTAAAGGGGACCCTTACTGGGCATCCCTCTTTCCTAGTAAGACTGTCACAACACATTACAAAGAAGCCATAATAGACTAATACTGAATGTAGAGGGTGGCGGCCAATGCTTTCTCGATGACGAGGTTGTGGCATCCTACAAACTTCCACCCTCCCTAAGACACCCGGGCAAAGGAAACTTCACCGGATACGAGATGGCGGGATACCATTCCCTACACTGCCTAGTAAGTCTGTGTCTAATTCGAATGACAATTCTTGCTGTATACTAAGTGGACAAAGTCGAGTATAAGGCAGGTTGTAGGCAGCTTTATGACAGCGCATAGGATTGGGGAGCAATACGATATAACGGACCATCTATGGACGCATACTTTACATTGTTTGGCGGACTTACGTCAAGCTATACTCTGCAACCTTGATGAGACTCTCATGATCCTCAGTGAAACCATACACCCTGGATATCGCCAGACAAAGGTGTGTAAAAACTTGGGTCCTATTAATGAATGGCTGGAGTACAATTTTGAAGGGAAGTTCGAGAATGTTTGATGAATAGTTAGATATCATATGCTTAGAGTTTCACAAGTTCAATTGAGTTATGTAGCTATCTTGCTCTCTGGGTCCTTCCTCAGGCAATAAGACTGCCTAAAAAACTACTAAGAAAACTAAGAACGGGAGGGCACAGATAGGAGAGAATACCTGTTACGACCCAACACCACGCCTTTTGTACGAGAGATTAGGTATTATTACTAGTGGTTAGATGTTAACGAGGATCAGCCTTACTCAATGCACGTTAAGGGCTCTTGCATTATACTATGCCCTTATCTTCATGCATGAGTCATATTACTTCATATATTCAGCCTGCGTTAATTGGCAATCATACATATGAATAATCTACCGCCACTTGGGGATAGGAGTGGTGTTACTCTGGTAGTAGGACTATATACACATGATCAAGGATCGGAAGAGCCCAACCCTGTTGAATGAAATAGCTTGTGGCGTTAATAGTTGCCTCGCCAGTCCCGAATCGCTGTTTCGTTGACGGAGCGCTCAACTCTTTGCCTGTAGAGTCAAGAACTTTGGCTGTGGCCTGCCATTCTGGTACAGTTGTATTGGTTGCAGTTCGAAGTGCTGACCGGGCCATGACTTTTGGCATACAATCCCTCGGCGACCTATTATCAGCAGCCCCTTCACCCGGCGAACTGTTCTTCTGGGATATGGAAGAAATCGGCGTTTCCTTCTTTTACCTTCGCTGCTCGTCCGCCTTTTAGCGCTTCCTTTAAACTCCTTCAGCTTCTGAAGTAGAGCACCGTCGGATATTGTGAAGTTTCCCTGTAGTCGAGCGTCAAGGTCCTCCATGGAAATTACGTCTTCTCGACTAAACCTAACCAGAGGAGGAGCAGGATCCTCGTCCAAGCATATATTTCGCAGCCGGTCTCTGGTTCTGTAGTAACCAGCGCAGTGTGCGGCATGGATAAGCGAAGCCAAGATAATTCAATGAGGGGTGCATGGAAGACTGCATTCGGTCGTTATTAGGATAGCCTTAAGCCGAGAAAAGTACACCAAAACTATCAGTAGAAGGTGACTATCAATGTCGCAGGCGCCTACTAAAGCCGACAGAAAGTTCCTTAAGCCCGGTAGGATTACATCGTAATGGTTGCATGCGTCATCCTCGATGATGGGCAAGTCTTGGCGGTGGACCTCGGGACCTAGGTCTTCCGGCGTGGTAGACAGAGACTTGCATATAATAATTTAAGAGAATATAAACCAATCATCTATGGGTTACTGGAAGGACTCTTGCAGGACGGTTTGCTTGGTCCCAAACATAATTACGTCCGTTAAGGGATAGTCCAGTAGGATAAGGTAGTATAATGTCTCCCTTGATTAACGGTCAGGGCCAGTATATCGAACGTAATCATCCAACTACAGTAGTCGTCAGACTAGTCGTCAGACTAGTCGTCGAAGAACGGTGTAAATAGAGTAGTTAAAGCAATACACCTGATGCTGCAAACATATAGTGCTATGAATAAAAAGGTAAATGGAACTTAATGGCCTGATTTGTCACCATCTAAATGGTGACAATTGCATAAGTGGCATTACGCCCTTTCCCTCGACCTGTTAAGCCATGCGTATTTCAGCATATTATGATATAATCATTTACTCAGACCAATATCAGTACAGTACCGGTGTCCACGCGCCCACTTTACAAGTGTGCCGAGCATAACTTCTTTACACCGGGGCAGCATTCCAGGTTCATGCGATTTAATAATTATTACTTTCCCCAACGTAAACACTGATTAAACTATCGTATCTGATGTACCTTTGATTAAAATAAAGGCTTCAGGCATTCGGTATCATATATCCCGCTGCTTTGAACGCGGCAGACCACCATCACCTAGCCCAGTTGACTTTAAGATCTGCGCACTAGGTGGTGGTAACACTAGCACAATGCTGTTGCAGAAACTCCTAGTTAAGGAGACGGCAACTCCACCGGAGAAGCACATCAAAGAACTAAATGAGGAGATCAGAAGGCTAGATCTTGACTTAGTATACTACAAGAATTTAACTAAGGGAGTTTTACTAAAAATCATGCCAACGCTCTATTAGCACTCCCAAGCACTATATTCCATCGTTTAAAAGTACAATGCAAGCATTAAACAGGCTCTGTGGGAGTAATAGAAGTCTGGCATAGTCCTGTAGATCTACGTAATAGAGTTAAAGAGAATTGAGTCCTGCGTTCCTAGATATTTCTCCTCGGTAACTTGAAGTAACCATAAAAAGAGCGAGTGGCAAGTGATATGTAGTGAACAACGGTAGCACCTCACGTTATAGTATTACATGTAAATTAACGAACCTTCGGACAAAATACACCGCTTGCTATATGTGCCTAAAAATCCGTGTTGTCGACCTTCTGCTCCCCTCTATAAGATACGCCTCCGTTTGCCCGCCCGCCACGACATATCCCTTATCTTAACTTCTTCCTCCCTTGTTATGAAATGACACCCCTGGGATAAGATAGTTGATGAGTCCGTCCGTCCGAAAGTGGAGTTTCTTATCTGGCCTGGTTTATTTTTAGTAGCTCCGTCGTTTAATTAAGCTTTTCTGAACCATCGCCCTTCTTACTCATAAACCGCCATATGCATGACGCAATAGGACCTAACCTTCTTTTGATCTATGCCTCCTACAATTAGTTGTCCCCAGTATGTAATGTATATAACCTAAACATATGTAAAGAGGATGTATACGTAAATATCTACCGGCACTGTATAGTATCTACAATAGTTTGAAGGTTTTAAGGGGTTAAATAATGTTCATGCTTATTATCGCCAATTGCGATATAGTACTGTATGTATAAGCAACTAAATGCTTTCTACATAAACCAGCCTGGCTTCTATATGGTTTTAGATCTAGGTCCAGCTAAATAAAGTCTTTTTCTCAGCTGTGGATATTGTCTAAAAGTAGACTTTAGTCTATCTCTACCTACACTATCCACCTATATCTTAGCTAGTAGGAAAAACACTTTATTATTTAACATCGGTAACGATGAACGCGGCCATCCCCTTAGGCTCTGATCCATAATACGATGCTTCAAGCAGGGTCCGGAACTTGAGCAGGAAAATAAATAAATGAATAGTTCTATTGAATCAAGCCTTACGGATTATTTGAAGAACACTGCAAGCAATAAAAGGCTATTATACCTTAATACATACGGACAGTATAATACTATAGCAGCACTTTACTTATATACTATATGTACCAGCCTATGCTTTGAAGATGCATGTGGTTTTGTTTATGTTCATAGATGTTATAGTATAGCAGCAGTTACAGCAATCATCCTCAATTCCAATTATAGCGCACCATGGTTCAAGGTTAATTCTCTCCACGCACCCTTTACGGTTTTATAATGAGGATTTTATAAGGCTAACTAACAGCTCTTATAGTGAAGTAAAGGAACTCTTCTAAACGACTTCCCAGTTGTCAAGACTTCATTTAAGCCGTTAAAGTCCTTGCTTTAGCTAATTGCTATAGATTACTTCTTAGTCTGGATGATACCGAGTTAAAGGTCGGGCTAAAGACGGAAGAGGGTTTATACCTCCGCCCTGGCCATTGCGACCGGCTAGGCCTGTGGTTATTTGCTGTTAAGCGCGAATCCTTTCCCTCACCAGCGAATACACTCTGAGTAGTTCTTTGATTATCACAGGAACTCGATCTAGCAATCCGCGCTACGGCACACAGGAAGCCCGCCTCCTCGCCCATATACACAATCGAAAACATACAAGGCAGTGGAGAAACAGCCAACATGGTCATAATCTTCAATTCAACATTATAAAAACATTTGCACCATCTAATACCAAGTCTTGACCGTTATATTCAATCTTTTTGCCGAGAAGCTAGCTGAGTCCGGCCGTTTTCATCCTTATTATATCCATAGCATCAACTATCGGCAAGCTAGGCTTCCTTTCATTCGTCAAAAACAACGACCCGGTTTCTCAGTCGCGCCAATACAATAGTCTGTCACATAACACCAGCGCATACGAAATTGTTATTTGCAAAATCTTTCACAGAATAGGCAAGGAAGTCGTGTCCACATTGCGAGTACCTCCAGAAACAGCGTATGCTCCGGGGAAACGGAGACGATCTGTTAGCTTCCTTCGACGCAAAGTTTTCTTATATGGAGAGAGCTGTCCTGATGAACCCGCAATTATGACAGCGTTCAATAATGATTTACGGGAACCAGTGGATGATATGCCGATCGTCGGAACAAGATTGGTAATTCTGTCGATTATGAATTTCGCGAAAAGACTCTCAAAAACAGCGAGGGCCCGGGATCCTGACAACATCATAGCATGGGTGAACAAAGCGCCACTGAACCTAGGTTCGCATTCTAAATCCCTCATTACCCCCAAGCAGGCTGGAGACTGTCATGTCATTACCTCGCTGTATCTTCATCATGCCTGAATAAATAACAGACAGGAAGTCGGAGGAATCACCTAACAACGATACAACACACTCAGGTGTTGGGAATGAAACGACTATTCCGTACAATACATCTCGAGGTCGCTTCCAGTACACATGGCCCCATACCCTCGAAAAAACGCCATACGTAAGTCGCCTTTGCACCAGCTTATTACCTCCGCAGCGCTGCCTCCAGGGGCAAGCTACCTACTACACATATTCATACACTCAAGCCTGCGTATATTAAAAGAATAGATGGACCCGTGATACCAAACTAATAAGAAAGCAGATACTAGGGATGAGAATTAATAGTCGCAACAGGCCCTCTCAAGCCTGTCTCAGTCATCGAAATCCAGTGTTGGCGACAGGCAATTCTGCCGCCGTCGAATCGCAACAAGCGGGTGATATGATTTTTATGGAGATATACAAAACAACAAAGCCATTGCCGCCGCTCCACACAAACACTGGAATCGCAAGGACCACCACTACCACAATGCATACTGAAGAAAGACTGGATCCTGATTCTGAGAGTACCCGTAGGATATGGCCTGGGGGATCGGAGAATGGCATGTCACGAACTGGCAGCAGGAACATAAGCTTAACATCAACAGTAGATTTTTCCCTCTCTCGAGTAACAATATATTATTATAGGGATGATAATCTAGAGTTAATAGTGAGAGAATGTACGGAATGATAAGTGTTTGTTTAGTATAAAGTTTACTGATAAGAATTTGTTTATTGGATTGCAAGGATAATGCCAGGGTACAAAGAATCCACCGAGGTATATACACGTACTATGTTTGTGTTCATTTACTATCCATAGTTCAACCAATAAAAATGAAAAATGAGATTAGCCATGATCTGGCAGATGGGTTGTTAACATGAACCCTCCGAAACTAGTCAAAATTCTCGACATGCAAGTATAGTCCATCCAGCCCGCTCCCTTTATCCACAGCCAAATCATCACTTATCCTCACCACGGCTGACCTCACGGCTACCGATAGCCCCAACGGACCACAAACTGCAACAGCCGTCTCGCCTTGCGCCTGGTGTATTCGTCTTTCAAGCATGGTTCGGAACGTAGGCCGTCCCATATGCAGCTCCGCGAACGAGACGTCTGCAGTTGATGTCCTACGCTTCCACGATTTCGAGGCTTCAGCTTTGTCATCTTCAAGAACAGGCCGTCCATCAACTTCACCATCTTGTTCTTTTTCTTGTTCTTGTAGTTGAACACTTCCTGCAGACTCCTCGTCGCTAGCAGTGCCCTCTTCACCTGTGATATGAATATTACACAGCGTTTCAACACCTGCCTCTTGGCTAGGATACGGTCCGTCAATGAGCGTTAGTTGCATAGCTTGATGCCCTTCAAGTTGGGCAGCTTTGAGAAGCCGTTTGGTGAAGCTGCCGAATGAACGCAGAATAAACACCATATCACCTCCATGTGACGATGGAGTTGACAATATCGTAGCTGGGTGTCCCAGCACAATGTTGAATCGGGGAATAAATAGGTGGACATACGACCCTGCCTGCCATGACTTGATTCCCGAGTTAGAAAGCCGGATCTTGGTTGCGCTGCCCTCGAGCGGTGTCAGGACCGCTCTACTTGGCCGAATGTTGACAATAACCATCCTCACAAAGCGAATCAACTGACCAACCATATACAAGGCAATGCTTATGTAGATGTAATTTGTCGAATAAGGCGACGAAGTTCCATTTAGGTGATAGACAATCGCAATTGTAAAGCCAAAATACGTGAGCAAATGCTGCACGACAAATATTTCATACTTGAAGAAGCGCAATGGTGCCAGCGAGGTCAGATTCATCCAGAGCAAGAGAGCATACGCAGAAATGCCTGTGGGCGTGCACTCGTCAGTTTTCCATTCGAGCACCATCAGGCCGTAGATGCTCTAGGCATGACTCTGCAGTCTAAAGTGCAAAGTTGCCAGCAGCAGCGAGCCACGTGAGACCCATCGGTGGTAGACGTTGAGTCGTTCCACAGACGAGTTGACGAGGAAGCCAATGATGCTCGTCTTGCTTGATGTTAGTACCAGCAGCGGCACTTGGGCTGCTCCGAGCCATCCAGCACGTATACTGAGAGCTTGGAAGTGTTGTGCACCGGGGTTGTTGTTGTTGTTGTTGACAAACACCAAAGCGAAGATGAAAGCCAAATACGACGTAATGATGTAGACATGGCCCAGCGGAGGTACTTTAAACCAGCTCGATGCTGCTAGAGGTATGATCTGGGGATAGCTCGGCTCTCGAAGGAGAGCTGATGCGGTAGCAATGGATTGTGTTAGAGGACTCGCAGGCTTCGCAGGCCTTGAGCGGTTTCTCGCGCTTGCTCTAAGCCTTATTTGTGTTGTCAACGCCAGACATCTCCATTTGAGCAGGGAATATCTGGGAATTGTAAAACCCACCTCATCCGCAATACGCATCTTTGCACGACGTTGCAGATACTCGCTATGCCAATGACCACCACGACTCCATACCAGAAATACCGTGCATACTTGTTACCAATTGGGCCAAAAACTGAGTCATCAAGAATCTCTTGCAAAAAGTCAGACGCCTGTGTCTCGTTGGAAAAGTCGACGCCAGCGGGAGTGAGCGGCGCAGAGGACGACGGACTGCCACTGCCCATGTCCATGATGAAGGTGATTTCTGGGTGATGACCTCGCTATGTGCTCTTTCTAGTCGTTCGTGGCCCACATGTGTACTGCGGAACGTGTGTTATATACAGAAACCGTCGTTCGGCTTCCTTCAAGTCATTGTCAGAGGTGTTTGCTGATGAAGAACGAGAGAATAAAAAACTGCCCGCTTATATGCGTACAAATCTCATTGCGCAATGCCGTACTAAACAAATGTCCGTTGCCGTACTTCCGGATTGGCCTCCTACTCTCTAGTTCTACCGGCACTTGGAATCGAACTACAGCGGGCAGCTACCGCTAGTTGAATTACATGTAATTAGTAAAGCGAGAACAGTGAGACGCCTATCAGAAGTCTAATAATAATCTCACATACCTGCTCAAATATTCTCAGCCTGCGATCCAAATAGTTCTTCGGCATTCACTTCCGGAGTGTGGGGAAATGACGGGACTTTGACTATCTGGTCCCCCATAGGGGCACGTATGCGATGTTAGTCCATAGGCCTATGACTGTCTTCTATCTGCGCCACCACGTACGGAGCACTTTGTAATAAAATAGCTTTGCAATGCTGATATAATATTTCGATGTCTCATCTGTAAAAGAGAATAAATAGTACATTGTTGAAAGAATTTTTGGTGTTTTATTTATCTTAATGTGCATGTGGAAACTTTGGGTCCGTCAAGCTCCTCTCGCGTTTAATCTCTTCCTCTTTCTCGTGGCCCAAGACTCCAAATTGAGAGCCCCATGATCCTAGTTTAAGTAGTTGAACAACTTCTACGTTCAAACACTTGCCTTGGATGTTTGCCCACATTTAAAATAGACAGAAGAGCCTCCAGTGTGCGAACCGAAGATACTGAATGTGGTAAGGCTCCCGTGTACTCTCTGGGGTACGGTCGATCTAGTTTGACCGCCGATATTAGCGTTATACGATTCTCACGGTTGGGATAATCTCCAAATGTATACATTCCACCAACAACTATATGCCACGCTTAGATGTTGAAAGCGCTGCTGGTTAACCGGCTGTGCTGGATGCCGGTGCACAAGCGCCGCCTTTCCAATATGGCCCTGTTTGAACCTTGGCAATCGACTGTTGGAGGGTAGTGGAGCTGGTCTCTTACGTCGGATGAAGTCATCTCTTCTTTCTCCTCCTTGTATGCATGGGGTCGTCTAAAGGCATTGCGTGTGATGGTTTGACCTGAGATTGTGGCTTCCAATGCTCTGGACGACGGATCTTTTATTTAAATGCCTGTCTACTATTTTACAAGACTGGGAATCATCTGAACCGCCAAAACATCATGTTAGCGGCAGATAATACTTAGACCTACAGTATTAGGTCGAGAGTAATCGACTAAATCGAAAACAGAAAGTTGAAGAGAACTTGACTCGCTGTCGTAGCGCACTGTCATACTAGATAAAAAAACTATTGTCAAAGTCTAGAACATGGAAACTTAAAAAAAAAACCTACCTAAGCAACCATTATGAATGCTAAAATGCCGAGTTGAGCCAGAAGCATGAAGGGCCCATGCAGTCCATCGAGCTAGCCAGTGGGCGTTGCAATATCTGTATATATCTCAATAGCCTCCGGGCACCCAACCTTTTGGCGAACAAATCCAGTATGCCAGCCCTAATGCGCTTATAACATTCCTTAGTAAGTGAATTAAATATATACAGGACGCAAGGGGAAGGTGAATGAGAAAGGGAGGGTTGTAGGCCAGTTTGAAGAAGGCTAAGTCTGGCTCTAGCCATTGATTCTATTCGTTAATATAGCATTCATGCATATTCAGTTTACAAAGGATTCATCCTCGTGACAGTGATGACCCCGCATCGAATATATTTTCTCTTCGGCTCTATCAAGAATCCACTCAAGGCTCTGCCAGAGTAAACAAATGCTCCCCACCTAATTACGCTTAATTTAACATTATGTCAATAGCGCCGGAAAAGACCGATATGTGGTTGTATCAAGCAAGGCTGACTGACTATCATATAATGTTGAATGATTCAATATATGCACAATGTCTCTGTTAACTTGGAAAAGATTATAAAAACTATCCCCGACCCCAAATGTTCCTTCATGATAACACTGTTAAGCCTATTCCTTGAACAATTAAGCAAACACGGTCTCATATAGCAATTTAGTAACGACTTCTACTTTCTACAATGCTTTTCATTCGGAACCTTCTTCCTACAATGCTAGCCTTAGCTTCAGGTACCAAGGCTGCTATAGCAATCGGGACAGCCGCTAACCATTGGAATGGTGCGTTCTTGGCTGTATATCTTCTGTCTTCACGCAGCCCTATATTCTCCCCTTTGAAGAAAAGGAAGCACTAACAACTCCCGCTGCCTATCAGTGATGTGGGTTGATGGTACAGACCCCTGCGCCTGGACCTTCATCAGCTATGTTGGCGAGAGCCCATGCAACATCACCCCCCACCCACTCCAGGGCAACGGGTACAGTTATACACTACAAGGTTGCGGTGGTCCGCTATGGCTGAACAATGGGGATGGCTCCTACAATAGCAATTGTTATGATGCGCCGGCTGACCTCGTCTGCGATGTGCACCGGGTGTGGCTCTGTGGCTAGGCATCTTCTATTTGGGCTACTGAGACTTTTTGGCCGGCTTCGTGATTGATTGTGAAACAATGGATAGCATGGATGCTGGACTCGTCATACTCTACAGCCTAAAAGGATTGATAATATACACATGTATGGGTGCAACCACATTCGCCTCGCTTTCTTGTACATCATATCCGCTTACTATTGACGAGACAACATGTCTCAAGACCCTCTCTTCTAATTAATGTCAGCTTGATTTTTTTTAAACCAGGATCTTAATACCATCATATAAGTGGAAGTAAATGTTCTATCGATTCCATAGAGAATATAGGTGGCATTACAGCCTCCACTACAAATCACCTGTATACTCTCGCATCCACAATCTTAGACGTTTCACAATAGGCAAACATACCTGATTCTTTGTCCAATTGAGACAAAGTACTGGTACTTAATGTGAGTCGAAAGTGTTTATTTTGGAATGTGAGCCGTTTGCCGACTTTGTTACAATACACCACACAATGCCGTTACGCTCATTAAAGCAGTGTACTTTCTTTGTCATCTAGATATATTGAGGTTGCGTAATCCGCGTAACAAACAACAAAGGGGCGGACTAGAGTCTTTTTCGCACCTCGTGACAACTTCGATATAATAGGAGCGCCCTTCATTGACCTGGATTCGTTAAATACTACTCAAAGACAGAGAGTCTAAGTGACAACCTCAGCTAGCCGAGCACAAACGTGAGAGAGCCTTGTACATACGCCAATCTTACGTTTCATCTACACCATGGATCTGTCCTTGATCGATTCTGCCGCCTGCAGCTTGTTAGGATTGATGCTTCAGATCTCAGGGTCGCTCTACAGGGAATGGAACTACACAAGCCAGTTGCTGGCTGAGCACTTGATCTATGAGCTTTCTCAACTGCGTAATGTCCTGGAGTCACTCGAAATGGGAGCCTTGTCCGAAACAAATGCCGTTATTGTCTCCAAAAATCTATTGATTTGTCTTAACGACGTGAAAGACTGTATTGTCTCGTTGGAATCCGAGCTGTTGGGGCGAAATTCCTCCAACGTGTCTAATGCTTCCAGGCTCCCATTCACGCCTGCCGAAGGCCTGAAACAGATCCAGCATCTTCAAGCCTGTCTGTCGAGGTTGAGGAAAAGTAATTCTTTGTGAATGTTTCCGCATGAGATCTCTGTGCTAACATGACTTAGCATTGAACGCTCTACGTCACTTGAGTCCGAAGAACCCGCTCCAAAGTATACAGTAGACCTAGGCGGAGCTTTATGGCGAGATGGTGCAGATTACATTACAGCTCATCGGTCGGCGCGCTGGCTTCGACTAGAAGGCACCGGACTATGGCTCATTAACCAAGCAAACTTCCGGAGATGGCTCAATGTATACCGTCTGGAAGACCCTAACACCCTCTTTTGCCTAGGAGGACCTAGCTCGGGCAAGACGATTCTGACGTGAGTAACTCTGTGCCTCAAGTCCAAGATTCTCCCCGTTACTCATTTGATGCAACGTCTAGGTCTTTGGCAATCGACGAAGTTCAAAAACGGCAACAGGCTAATAGATCTTTAAACATTGGGTTAGCCTACTTCTATTTCAGCTATAGAAAGTCCAGTCCGATGCGAAATGTCGTATTGGCGCTGCTTCGACAGCTGTACTTACAATCCTTGTCGCGAGTTGATGAAGTGGCTGCCCTCGAAAACTTAGCTTCAAGATCAGAGCACATTCCTTTCACCAGTCTCGTTTCGGTCCTCCTAACTGTCTCAAAACGATTCTCACAGGTATACTTCATTTTCGACGCCTTGGATGAATGCGGGCCAGCCTACATGCCTGACTTGCTGCATCTACTCACGTCGATAAAAGCCTCGCCAGCCCGGCTACTTGCTTTTTCACGGCCTCGCCAGATTTTCGATGCCTTGGCAGTTGGCTCGAAGGTTGACGTCTTGCCATCGAAAGAAGACATCAAGCATTATGCCAAAACTAAGCTACAGCCTGTACCACTTTTTGCGGCTGACGGTGACTTATTGGATGAGGTTGTTTCTGCTCTTGTAGCTGCTAGTGAGTGGCATCATATGTATGGTATTTCCGTTATCCATTCATTGTCGTTAGTGAAGCGCATAGTTCTGATATGGTTCATACATCAGGTTTTCGCCCATCGCCTTACACGTTGATGCGTTCCGGCAGAAATATACCAAGAGACAGGTTAGAATGCAGGAGGCTGAACTTCACCGAAGTCCATACTCTGCTTACCAGGACAGCTTGTATCGAATCCAAAACCAGAGGCCGCATATGGCAGACTTGGCAAAACGAACCCTCACCTGGCTATTTTATTCTCAACGACCACTCGAAACTGTGGAACTTCTCGAAATTCACCACTCCTCAGTCCTAGGTGCGGCAGAAATCGATGTCCCCTTGATTGTAGAAGCATGCATGACTCTAGCACAGGCTGGAGGAACGGTCACATTTACACGCACTTCCGTCAAGGCATTCCTCGAACAACAATCGTGTACCGTTATGGACGATGAGAAGATGATCGCGGGCCATTGTCTACAGTATCTAATTGCCAGCAAGATTGACAAAGCAACGACCCACGGCTCTCTCAATGATCAGCTTGGTAGCAATCCATTTTTAGATTATGCGGTTACCTACTGGGGGTGCCACTTGCGCAACGCAGTCCGAAGTGATGCAGAGGAATACGAGCAACTTAGGCGATTGTGCTCAATGCTGTTGAATGATAAGACGAGGGTAGCGAGTTTATGCCACGCAATATTCACGCCCCAGTTGGAAAAGAAGGCGACAACTGATAAACTCGTCAAGTCCTCTTGGCTTCATCTTGTCTCATACTTTGGGCTGGATTGGGCAATTAATCCACCACTCGTTGATGAAACAATGGCGGATGAACAAGACGAATGGGGTCGAACACCGCTTCACCTAGCAGCCCTGAAAGGCTTTAACGACTGCGTCGCAATTCTTCTAACACAAAAATCCCAAAGCCAACAAGATTTGGACAGAAGAACAGTTTGGCACTACGCCGCGATGAGCGGAAACTCCGAGACTATGCGTTGTTTGGTTGATTTCAACGCTCGCGTTCTGGAGTCGACTCATTTAGACACTTCAGCCATCTTGGGAGCAGATAAACTGGACAAAAGTCCGCTTGAATATGCGGCAATCTATGGTGATGAAAACACATTCATGCTGCTTCTTCCATTCTATCCCTCTGAATCTGCGAATGATTTTAGAAGCAGAGCATTCCTGGCGGCTTTGGCTGGCGGCAAGCTAGACATCTTAAAATGCCTATTATCGCAGGGAGAAGTTGCTCACTACAACTATTTCCTGGAGGCAACAAAGGTCGGATCTAATGCCTCAATAAATCTTCTTGTAGATTACGGGTCAAGCATTGACAATCCAGATGCTGCCGGAGAGTCGGCATTCGCGATCGCGGCGCGAGAGGGGTGGAACAATATTCTTAAATTTATAATCTGGAATAACGCAGATCTTGAGAGTCAGGATGCAGACGGACAGACAGCGCTCGCTCTAGCCGTAAAAACGGGCAACGATGAGGGGGTACGATACCTATTGAAAGCTGGAGCTTGGCCAGAAGGGTCCATAAACGGTGACACGCTCGTGGTATATGCCGCCAGTCAAGGCCATGTGGAAATTGTTCGGCTGCTGTTAGCCGCAAGACATAGACCGTACGAAGCAGCTCTTACTGCAGTCAAAGAAGGGGGGACTGGACTTCTGGAAAGGTTTTCTCAATGGGCAGTGCTTCCTACAAATTTAAGCGCCGATAAGAGACAGAGTCTAGTGGAAGCGGCAAAAGAAGCAGATTCAAGCTCGACTTTGGGCACGTTGGAGTCTCATGGACTGAAAGTTCCTCTGCAGCCAATCTACTCTGTTCAGTCCGAAGTTGCAGTTGATCCAGAGGCATCGTTTCAGAAGGTTGAAACATGGGGCGAAGATGCCATTCCACTCAGCGAAGCACTATCTAAAATGGACTTGGTATCTACTAAGAGCTTGAGGAGATCGGGGCTGAAACATGCCCAAAACGAAACAGGGGCGAGAGAAGGACTCACAGAACAGTCGCTTAAGCTATCTGAACTCGAAACAAAGGGAATTCGACCATCACCAATATCGTCCCGCCAACCGCCTCAAGATGAGTCTACACTAGTGTGAACCCCAGGTTTAAACAATATAAGTATGCCCTTTCTCCTACTGTCAGAACCTATACCGGTAGGAAGTCTAAACCTTGGTAGCATCGTAGCAGACGCAGAGGACCCGCTGTGCGCCTATGCACCGAGCAACACCAGCGTCTTATCCGAATTGGTCGGGGAGAACCGCTATGAATTCATACAAACTGACCATCGATCGGTCAAGGAAAGGAATTCCATAGGAAGGATCGCTCTCGAAGTGCTACGGCCAATGTTGAACTTTGAACCCCGTGTAGCTCCAATCGCCACCCTCGCGTGTTGTCCGTCTGCAGCTGAAAAACCATGTGCGGGTTTTATCACAAATCCTTTGTAACTCAATGATCCGGGAGGAAATATTTACCATGGCTAGAACTATGAATCGAGATAAGCTCTTTATAGTGGTCGGGATGTTGACAGCTACGATCTCCTTACCAGCATAAAGCGGCAATCTTGGACCACTGGCGCAACCAGTCCTAGCTCGCGTAGAGCGGCGTTACGAATCGTCCGAGGAGAGATACACCGGCAACAACGTATTTGCCATCAGTTATGGTATCGTGAAGATGGAGGTCAGTCGCTCTTTAGATAGTCCTACAACAAGAGGGCCTTTTACGACAATCACCAATGTCTTCTTAGATGACTACTTCGCCCCCAAAGCTCATGAGAGATTGTCATGAACGACAATGATTGCGTTTCTGCTGCTTCTTCTATTTTTTCTATCTTTCTTGTTCTTCAACTTGTTGGAGCCGAATTTGTGTTCTCTACTTGAACAAAAAGGCTACAAGTGTAGCTGTCATTGGAATGTGATCCGCGCTCTCCCAACTGATGTATAGTTACGTAAGACAGACTTATGTCAAAAAGATTTAATACAATATGATTTGTGGACTCATGATAGATCATTCTTATAGTATCTTAAGATCGTGAATATTTCCTCCTGCTTATTCTCCCAATGCTATTCATCCGAGAACTTATTCTTCGATAGCCAATCCAAAGTCGACCTAGCTTTCCCCCAGCTCGTCTGGTCTCCTGAGTCTCCGAAGAACAGCCACGTCTTGGCATACTTCGTGGAGTTATTGTCCATCATGTTAATGAAGACAATTTTGACAATTTGTAGTTTCAGGCTCTTATGATGTTTCCACGCTACCTCTCTGCGAAGCTTGCTCAGCGACTTCTGTGTCATGCTGGGATCTTAGGTTTATACAACAGCGGCCAGAAGCTTTCCATCACACCAAAGTTGAGATGAAACACCAATACTTGAAATCAAAAGTGATAGATCAGCTACACCCATTAATCTATACGAAATATACAAGATCAAAACTAGACATTAATTTTAGGGTAAAGTTGAGATTCCCGCTTCCGCTAACGCCTCCTCTGTAATTCGCCAAAGCGATCGAGCCAGCTCTCTGTTGCGAGCCTTATCTGACGGTTGGTCAATCTTGTCGGGGCCATTCAAAAACTGGCCTTTGTAGCGGTCAGGGTTTTTCGCAACTTCTACCGCAGTTGCACAGAAAAGTTGCGTTAAAGCGCCTTTTGCGACACTTTTCATGACCAACTTCAAGACCGGCTTCAACACACCGGGGAAGATTCCCATGCCGCTTTCGGTTGAAACTGGCCCTGGGTCAAGTGTAATAGCTGTGATGTTGGCGTCTTCTTGAGTGAGCTTGTTTTGTAGTTCCTTTGTAAAGAGGATATTAGCCAGTTTACTGGCGCCGTAGCGTTTAAAAGTCGCTTTGCGAGAGGCGTAATCATTCGGGTTCGCTGCTCCAGGATCCTTGAGGTCTTTAATGCCTGTAAAGTTATTGCTTTTAGGCGCAAATTTCTCAGCCACAGAGCTCACCTAGAATGTCACTTAGTCAAGCCATGTTCGAAGATTCTTTTGTCAAGAGAGCTTACCGTAACGATCCGGACGTCAGAGCCTGGCACTTTCGCTGTGGCCTTGAGCAACGGTAGAAGGTTTTTTGTGAGAACAAAATGCCCGACATGACTAGACAGATATATCAGTATTGTAATGGAAAAAGTAGAATAGGAAAAAGGGAAAGCGTTAGCTGAAGACGGTGCACTCACTTTACCGCTATTGTCTGTTCCAATCCTTCTTTTGTGGTTATAAAAGTTTCCGGTCCAATGCCTGCATTATTGACTGTAATAAACATATTAGCATGCTATCAATAATTGATATGACGAATGCTATTTTACCCAAAACATCAAGTCTGCTTTCTGTGGTAGAAAGTAATTTTGCCGCTTCAATGACATTTTGCAGATTTTCTAGATCCAGTGGAAGCCATTGCAACCGCTCTTTGGGTATGGATTGATGATGAGAAACAATCTCATCAATTGCCTGTTTCGCTCGAGATTCGGATCTTGCCCCAACATATACCTTGGCACCATGCAATGCCAATTGTTTGACTGTCTCAAGCCCAAGACCAGAGCTGATTCATTTTCGTCAGTTGGGTATTGGTGATTGGAAGATGGGACACAACTCACTTTCCACCTGTGACTAGTATGACTTTGCCAGTGAGATCAGGGATAGAGGCTTCGGTCCACGCCATGGCTCAAGAAGTTGTACAGAGAATTATGTAATGGACGTGTCGACAAGATTCCCATGCGTAGACATGCAAAATAGCTCGTAGATGCCTTCACAGCCTGGCTGGTGGTCGTAAAAGAGCCAGTTCTCAAGCAACTACTTATAATAACTAAACCCATTATCGACTCTTATAACTCATCAGTGGTATTATAAGTCTAAATTATGCAGGAGTTGAAGATAAATAATTACCCAAATCAGTAGGTGTACTCCGTACTAATGATTTGACTTATCCCTACATGGCCGATCCAACCCAGTTAGGCCAACAGTATCGCGAAGATCCCCACAGCTCGGAAAAAGTTGCCTCTGACTTGGTCAGTTCCAGGGAAATTATTCGCACAGCTTGCTTACCCAATCAGCCAGTTTGCGGAGAAACAGACTTATATCAGTTTCTGTTGCCAGGCTTTGGGATCTCGTAGGGCGGGGCAGCTAATATCAGATGATTTGCTTCCATCCGAGATAGGAATCGTCCGGCTGCCTAGAAAGGGCAATGGTTCATTACAAGACACATCAAACTAAACAAGTCTCATGCCCGCTAAAGGCGTCTAAAAGGGCAGGCAAACCCGTTGAGTCGGTCATGATTCGATCAAGGCCATCTTATTTTGCCTATCAGTCGGCATGACATATACATCCCTCGAGAGCTGTAGAGATGTCAAATTCTAATTTGTTAACAATATTGGGCTATTATAAAGCGTGAATGCACAAAGCGTGCTTTGGTTTGTATGTCAAGTAGGTAGATGCCAAGGGATTTCCCAACGCCACAGACACAACATCGCGAGATATCCATTTAGTAGAATGACAATAATAGAATGAAGTCTTGCTGCTTTTGAATGCGGTGTACTAGAGTAATAAACACCCATTGTAGGTCAAAAGTCGTTTAAACTTCATTTAGCGCTGGTGTTTTGGCACATTAGACATCACCAACTTGGAAATTACACTTCGCTCTGGTTGGCTAAGGTCACGGTCAGAAAGCTTGGTAATTACTCAATTATAGTTGACAAATCAAGTTGGTATACTTGAGTAGAAGATTTACAATCTGAGGTAAGGTGGGGGGACTTTGACTCATGGAGCAGGTGATTGTTCTACCAAGGGAATCGGTTCATGCAACGTTATTTCGCTTAAATGCTGTGACTTAAGGGGACATTTTTATTGATCTAGAAAGCTCTATCAGTCCCGGGGTAGGAGATATATGCACCCAGGTGACTAAAGTTAACACTTTTGGGCAACCGGTATGTTGTATTGCTGAAGATGGGACTATTTGGGAAACATATACATGATATTACTCTCTACCTCAAACATGTTGCGTAAAATCTCGTATGGGAATATTTCTTTGAAGCCTTATATGCTAGCTTGGTTCAAGATGGCTTTATATATGTCTAATTGGTAGAAGATCAGACACATGCGACCATAGGTAATGGAGAATTCAAGGTCCCGTCAAGGGCTTGAATTAAGTTCAAAATCTTCCATTTTTATTTATCCGAAAACTCTAGATTTAGAGGTCATGCACTTTCAATTTTGAAGACCGTTGAACCTCGCGCTAAAATGGCAGCCATTGTTCAGATTTTTTGGTCCGTTATTGAAACGGAGCCCCGACACCTCTTCTGCGACCCGGCAAAATAAAGATATAGAATACATTATCAATCCGCGTCTAGCTTCAGACTCACTCAAGTGTGTATAAAAAGGGTAGCAGGCTATAACACTAGGTCTACAGGCTCACCAGGTATAATAGGACATCATATACAAGAATCTACTGTGATCTTAGCTAGAAAAACACCAGCCCATGACTCCGGTTAATATGACTGCTTATAACCGTATTGAGCAGGTGATCCATTCCCCGATGGATCACTCTTATAAGGCATCGTGATCTCCTATTTAAGTATTTCCAAGTAGCATTATCTAAAACAGCTCATTTATTGATTAGCGTATTTCCTCCACGTCTGTTTCACTTAGTTCTGCTGCTTCCGTTCTCTTTATGCGTAGGTAGTGTTAAACAACACTACTTCCCACCATGGTCTCAAGATCTTGGTAATTTTCTTCTAGACGCTCGAGCGCCTCCCTTCTACTCTTGGGAAGAGATTTGCATCCCGGGGCCACGGCTCTGTCATGATGCCCGTATATGATCATAATAGAGGCTCCTTGCTGGTGCAACCGAGCAATCCAGCGCTCAAGATTGCTTCCAGGGCCAAGTACATGTTGGCCGTTGCGTCTAGGCCACTATAGGCCGTTTTCAGTATGCTTGTCATGAGTAATGCTAAACGAAAAGCTGAGTTCTCCGACAAGTTCTCTCGCCAGCCTGTTCGCGCAAAAGGATATTAATATAGGATCTCATTGCACAAGGAGGATAAGTTTCTCATATAAAATAAGAATATGAATATCAGAGCAGAGCTTGCCACTTACTGAGTCAAACGATTAACATCCCGAATTAAATACCAATTAACACTGTGAATCAATGCCGCGGCAGCGAAGCCAGCATCTGCAGGCACATCTCTAGTTAGGAATTCTCCCATGTGCGGTATTTCCAACTCTGTCAGTTCTGGTGGCAGCGGATGCGCCCGACTCAGTGCAGAATGCAATATGATCATTCTTGTTGTAACGCCTTCAGGAGTTAAATGAGCTTGAGCTGTACCAGTTGGATCGTTGACCCACCACGAGGAGGTCGCCTTTGAGGCCTTCAATTCCCGAGACACATAGCTTATAAGAGTCATGTAGCTTCCAAGACGCTCGAGGATAGAGATCATTTCGCCATATGTTTGCTTAGGAAAGCGGCCGCCAAGGCCAAATTCCCAGTCAAGGAACTGGTAACATATTTTGGTGCTGGTGCTCAGGGCTTGGTATTTGTGAAAGATGCGACGGCGAGCTGCTTGAAGGTGAAATCCGGGACTTGTTTTATCTTGAATGTCACCGAAATCACCGTGAAGATGTGCGAGAACCGTTTGCTGGATGCACATGTAATAACAGGCTAACCCATACATGGTTTTAGCCATATTTTCGCGGAGTTCTGAATGTTCGGAGAGAGGGTAGGGGAAGATTGTCCAGAAATATCCAGTTACAACACCAAGGGTGACGAAAGCAAGCCGGTAAGGAAATATTATATACGGTGCATACACAGCCTGTCCAGATGCCAAGACGGCTGCTTCTCCCAACTTTCGGACTTGAAGTTCATTTGCTATCATTACGATTGAAGCAATGAGAGCAACGAACCATATGCTAAAGAGACTAGGGAATTTGACGACTGAAATACACAAGTCAGCAACGAAATTAAGCTTGCCGTCAATAGCTAAATACATGGAAGCCACGAGACTTACATAGATAGCCAAGCACTATGAACCACAACCAGAGGAAGACTAATATACCAGGAGTCTTTTCGTCGACCACGTACCAGATGATATAGCTCGCTACCATTGAAGCTAGAGTACCAAGTACTCGACCTAGTAAAAGAAAGGTTGATGATCCAGCAGTGCGAGCCATGGAAAGCAATATGGCGAATAGCGACCAAAGAAACCGGTGTCTGAAATAGAAATTCTGCGCATCGTGAAGGAACGCAATAATAGCTATTGTCATGATGGCACAGACAACACGGAGCCCGAACGCTGCATGATCACTACGAAACACAGAAGGGATCTTGCGAATATGATCCCCAATAGTCTCCATAAGGCCACTAGGTGGGAGGTGGTCGGGGTTTTTTGGACTGTGAAATGCGGGACCAAGTTCGACGTTTGTTTGTTTTTCTGCGTCCTGAGAAGTACTGTCTTTTTGGATGCCTCCCAAGCGAACAAATCTTTCAACCCAATAATTGGGGTGAAGGAACGGCGGAATGAGTAACCGCTTAGGGCGCGAATAGCAGTCGTCGAGGAAAGTGAGAAAATGAAGGAGTTCATTTCCCAAAGACGAGAGGAGAGTTTGAGACTATGATTATTAGCTACTAGTAACGTAAGAAGGAGACAAATAATACATTACTTACGTGAAGAAATAGAAAGTACCGCAAAGTGTTGGAGTGCATTTCCGAAGTATATTGACTCAGATTTTCAACCTGTGGCCTACGTTGAATGTAACAGTCAAGCAGCTTCTTGCTACTTATAGCCTCATTCTCTTGGCCTAGAACACGGCCCTTTTCGAACACGTCGCGATATGACTCAAGGAAGCCCGCTTCGCCCGGATTCACGGTAACAGCGCGGTGCTCCGCGTCGACCACTCTCACACGAGGCCTGCCAAACAGGGAGCGTCCCTTTGCCAATTTTAGCCGAAGTTTGGCGTGCTCAATTCCTTCAATGATTGCCTCAGTCATTATTTGTGAATGCTGATGCATTGCTGCCTCGAGATGTTGCCAGTCATCGTCATATGACAAATCGTTGTCTGCCTCAGAACGTCGGTTTATCCCACATGCGTCGTTGGAGGGATCGTAACCTGCAGCAGTAGATAGTTGCAGCATCTCTGCTACTGAGTTTAGGCCAGAGGCCGGTGGTATGAGGTCTACCAATAATGAAGAAATTTCTTCGAGTTGTGAATGATCGAAGACACCCCAAGATATCTCTCGCGCCGCATATTCGCTATTTTGGCGAGTCTTGGAGACTTGGTTGACAAAATGTTGCAGAGCGACCTCAAGTTGACTGGCAGATGAGCTGTTGTCCATCCCTCCTGTGGAATTGGTTGTCTTTAATAAAATATCTCCCATGCATTTTCTCTGAGTCCGCGCGACGCCCGCGAGCCCATCAAGACAGGCTCTTATATCCTTTTTAAAGACGTCTCTGCAGCTTTGCGGGAATAATATCAGTGCATTGACAAAGCCAACAGCTTGTCCGACTAGAAAAGACTCCAAAATATTGTTGGTTTGATCAATAACTTGCTTCGTATTAGGGGCTCGAGCTATGCCCGGCAGTGTCGCGACTGTAAGGATGCCAGCAATAGTACATTGGAGGCCCCAGTCAGGGAATGCAGATTTTAATGTGCACGAACACCAAATGAAGAATATTAAAAAAATGGCGACAACCGCTTCTGCCGATGAATTGTATGCATTTAGTTCGTTGACATCGTTTGTGGTATGTCGCCTGGCTTGAACACCACACCAGCCAGCGAGTAGTGCCCAACAGTAGGCCAAAACAATTGCCAATGTGAGTCGAATATTGTGTCTTATTAACATTGCCCGGTGGAGAGCTGGCAGAACACAAGTAGATATAATGGGAGCTAAGTAGGCATTGGTCTTGAAGTGGTTGATCCAACTATCCGACTGGATAGCACATACAAGCACAGCTGGTGGTATCGACGCTTTGATAGCCATCGTAGCCGTATACCAGTCCAACTTCTGCTGTACCAGCACCGACTTGAGCTGCAGCTGCCGCGTGGTATCATTTTTATAGATAGTAGTCTCGGTCCTAGCCAATGTTTCAGGTCTGGATAGCAACGTTGCGTCTGACGTGGTTGTATTTCGGTTGCCTAAGGGCACGGTTGGTGTCTCTGAGGACATGATTGTACTGATTCCCTCATGAAGAGAAGTTCCCAAGAATGAAGATGAAAACACGAGCTTCACGAGCCAGTATATTGTGTCGCGTTATCTCCATCCCCTCCTCGGCGGTGGAAATTACGTAGGAGCCTGGGTCGATTTCCTACCTCATTACAACACTGTGCCCGAGTTATGTCATTCATCACGGCCAATAATGAGCTTGAATACGCCCGGTTTTACTCATCCAACCAAAGCCTATTTATAGCCAAGGACGGATTCTGGTTTTACAACTCTCTCTACTTGTGTTGTGGCTGCCGTAGCTGCCGGAGCTGCCGGCGAATATGCTTCGCCCCACAACTAGAGCTTTTGCTTTTGCTTTTTTCGGTATGCTACTATGCTACTATTCCATACCTATAGAAACGAGCCATTGATCTATCTAATGCTTGTGGAACTTGGATAAAACGAGACAGGGGGAGACGCCAAAGCGTGCTAGAGGCACATAAGGTCAGATCGCTGCCGACACAAACACATACGACCATAGGTAGTGGAAAGTTCGGGGTCTCATTTGCTCCCCCATAAACAAACCACTAACCGGCAGATTAGTAGGTAAGTGGGTGACCATTAGTGAACACCGGCTGTTGTATGTTTGTTTTTTGGTTATAGATGAAGAAACAAGGCTTGGATTCATGCATCTTGCAGCTGTTGTATTAGAGTTGGTGAAGACCCTCAAGCTGTCCTTGAACTCTCGCTATTATATTCATAGTGTACGCAACTTGTAGTATATTGTTTTTTAAAAAAGAAATTCTAGTATATATTTTGCCCTTTTTATCTTTATGGTTAGTGAGAAAGTGACTAATATTATTCTTAAAGATATTAAACAAAATATATAAATTGCCAAAGTATACTATTTTATAAACTATTGCAAAAAATAATATTAATATTATATAAGCCATAAGTAAGGTAATATAAAATAAGGTTATATAACTTTTAATTTATATTTTATAATATAATTAAAATATTTTTATTATATAAGTATTAAGCCCTTAGTATATAATTAATATATTTATATAATCTAAATATTAGGCTTATTAATTAAGCTTTAATATAAAGCTATAATTAATTTTAATAATTTTATAAAATTTAAGGGCTAAAAATATAAAGTAAAAGTAGTTTTAAGTATAAGGTTAATAATTAAAAAGTATAATTTAAAAAAAAAAGTATATTAAATTATATATTTATAATTATTATAATAATAATAATTATAAAAGAGATTATATTTATTATTAAAAAGTTTAGTAAAACTATAATAGCTAAGTTAAAAAAAAACTATACCCTAGCCTTTAGTTTAAAATCCAGAATTAATTTATAGCTTAACCTAATTAACTATAGCTAACTAAGTTAAACCTTAAAAATTTAAGCTATAAAGTATAACTAATTAAGGTTTAAGACTAAACTTAAAATATATAAAAAGGCCTAAATAATAAAGTTTAAGCATAATATAACTAGCTTTAAGCCCATAATTTATAGTTTAATAACTTAACTAAATTAGATAGGCTAATTATTCCGTTAGGTTATAAAAGGCAGTGATAATCCTACTTAAAAATAAATTGCGTATATAACGCAAAAGACTACCCAATGAGACCACGCACCCACTTGCAATAGCTATAACCCGACCTTAACCTAATATAGTAAGATAGCTAAGCAAATAGCTAAATCTATAATTAATAAAATTATAGACCTGTAATTAAAAGCTTTAAAGAAGGAAAGACTAAAGCTAGGCGAGGCAAAGTATAAGCTAAACTAGCTAAAGGGTATTAAGAACCCTAAGCTAGGCAAAGGGATTAAGAAAATTATTAAAAAAGCTAATAAAGTAATATAAAGGCTTTTTTATAACTAGTTCCTTTTAGGCAGTTTATTCTTTATACTTAGGAGAGAAATATTATAATTATATTAAAGTTTTTAATAAAAAAGCTATTATTAAACTTATATCCTTTAATAAATTAATATATATTATTAATATTAAACTTAATATAATATTAATATAAGGTTTTATTTACTTTTTATAAGACTATAGTTATTATTAATATTATAGCTATAGTTATAGCAGTTATTTTAGTGCTCTTTAGAGCTCTATAGCTAGCCTATAGCGCTAGTTACAGCTATTTCCAATTGGCTATCCCTTATAGCCTTCTATAACACTCTATAACCTTAATTATAACTATACTTAATTTATAATCTTACAACCTACCCTATAGCTTATAAGCAATTGCCTATTTAGGCTTAGCTTCCTACTTATCTTAATAGCCACTGCCTAATTAAGCATAGCTTATTTAGTAACTATAAGCTCCCTAGCTTACAAAAGGTTACAGTACCCAAAAGCCCTATAATAGCCAACTTCTGAAAATCCCAAATCCAAATTGAATTTCGAAAGACCCACTTTTATCCTAATTTCAGCTAATTAGAATACTAGAATCCTGCTTATATAAGCGTTTTTAGCCAATCAGATCGCTTGAAAAAGCGGGTCTCTAAGATCGTAAGGGGGGGCCTTGCCAAATTGCTCAAAATCGCTCATTTCATTATTTGTGGCAAAAGGTTACTTTTACATAAATCCTTAACAAAACACTTGTTGAACACTTAACGATTCTGCTACTACTGGAAGGAATAGGACTACATAAGTTATACTATTTGATAGCTAGGAAACAGGGCTATCTAACGGTACTAGTCTTGTACTATGATTCTGGCTGCTTGTGGAGGAAAATGAAATATAAATAGAGGAGGTTTTCCTGAGTTTTCCTGTACTGGTAATCACACAGAAAAAAAACAGTAATAACAAGCTATTTAAAGCTATTTGCACCTTATTACACCTT